TGTGGCACTAGCACCTACACACCCGCCTCACCCGCATCGGATTCCGACAACTGCCTCACGACCAAGGAATGTATCGCCTCACCAAAGGCGCAGACTACATCTTACTGATCGTCTATGTCGACGACTTGCTTTACATCGGCTCCACCGACGACGTCATCACCTGGTTCGAAGGGGAGGTGCAGAAGGACCTCACGCTCACCGTCTCCTCCACCGTCACCCAGTATCTCGGGCTCAACATCCGCGAAGAGGTAGATAGCATTTCTCGGATGTTGAGAAATACGCCGACACTATCGCCAAGCGCTTCTCGCTCACGCCTACCGCCATCGCCACGCCATACCGCCACACGACAGGAAGCGGCAAAGGAAATTCCACTCCACTTAAGGCTGCCGGAATACGAGACTACCAGAGGAAATTGGGCTGCCTCCTCTTCGCAGCCGTCACCTGTCGCCCGGATCTATCCTACTCCGCGAGTCAACTCGCCACCTATCTCAAGAAACCCGAAGCAGAGCACATGGCGGAGCTCGATCGCGCACTACACTACTTCGTGAGCACACCGACAATCGGCCTGACCTACTACAAGGGCGAAGCTACGACAACGAAACTGATCGGCTACGTCGATGCTGACCATGCCGGCGATTCTGATAACAGGCGCTCTCGCACTGGCTACGTATATCGTCTCGAGCCTATCGGACTTATCTCCTGGCAGTCGACTAAGCAGGAACTAATCGCTCTCTCTTCAGCTGAAGCAGAATATATCGCCCTCTGCTCAGCCACCAAAGAAGGACTCTACCTTCGCGAGCTGCTGGAAGAAGCAAAGTTAGCCGAGTTACCCAACTTCACCCTGTTCTGCGACAACCAATCTGCAATTTGCATCGCCAACAAAAGCGGATTCGCGAACAGAACGAAGCATATCGCTCTGCGATACTTCTTCGTGAAGGACGAGATCGAGAAAGGGAAACTCAAATTATCCTACTGTCCCACGTCCGAGATGGCAGCCGATTATTTGACCAAGAAACTCGGAAAACAGAAGTTCGAGTACTGCATGCTGCTGACTGGACAAGGCCACGTCACCATCAGCGACACTCCAGAAGCGAAGGGGAGTGTTGGGAACAATAAGTCTTAAGCGCCTCTGTCGTGTCGAAACTTAGGACACTAACGAAGCAGTCAGAATCGAAGCATCGCGAGTCAACCCTCGGAGGTTAGGGTAACCGCCTGGAGGTTACGGGAAAGTCAAAGGTCAGCGACCTTTGACTCGACAATTACAGCGCGACAGCAAGGACACACAAACTGACTCGACATTGAGCAGTTGCCCGAGTCGCACTGTATCGAATCGCAACAGTAAAACGGTTTAAATCTATCTATTCGTATTCCTTGTACTCTTATATAAACCTTGTATCTGTTTGTTTAATTCAACTTACTTTGCCCTCACATACCAGCGCAAGGTGGTTCAAACACTTTCATTCATACGCTTCCGCTATTACAATCCTACTCAGACTTTAAGCTCTACAAAGATCCTAGGACTTTTCAGTCCAACAGTTCAAACGGTCCTGTGTGAGAATGGTGACGTCGATGTGTTCAGCCATGGCGAAGGGCGTCGGCTCGACTTAGTCTAGGCGAGGTCGTGGCTGCACGCGTTTACGAGAGAACGCGAGGACAATGGCTCCTAGGGGCTAAGGTGCGTGAGTCCTTTCGAGTGAAAAAATAAATTTTGCCTCTCTGGGGTGCGGAGATGCGTGGTCCGAAAATGAAAGAAGCTCTGATACCAAATGTTACGGGTACAATGGATCGAGGTAACGAGGATTGCACTAAGTATCAAACGAGTACAAAATGTGAGCGAACGCATGAACGAACATTTGTACGCGAAACATGCAAAACGACAACGCGGTGCGTGCGAGCTAGCTAGTGCTACGTTGGTAGCAAGGTTCAGGCTAGTCCCGAAGCGTAGACCGACACGGTTGGGCAAGCAGTGCGAGGTTTAGTGAAACAGTGCGCGCGAAGTTGGCGAAGCCCCATTAGCAGTAACGGGCAAACAAAGGCTGCTGCTGTACGTGGTGTCGCTGGTCTTAGTAAGGAATGTTTATTACACTCACATAAGTAGCATGTTTCTTGTAAAAAATCCAGCACTAACCTGAATGGCTAGGCTGGGCTGGTTGGAAATATGGGCTTCTGGAGGGAGGCTCACCGAGCCGTGTTGGCTGGTTCGTCTTGTTCGTTTGTCCGCATCCCCAATTACCAGGCGACGAAGAAGCTTCGGTTCCGCCATTTCATTTGCCAAATCCTGCACAGCGGACCGCGATTGCCCTGGGCGCGACTCGGTTCAAGGGCTGGCCAGAATGTGACGTGGAGGTGGGGCGGGGCCACGGAACTTCGACATTTCTCCCCCTCACTTGCACGATAAATATGCAAGAGCAAGCCCATTCCTAACAGACCAATTCGAAGCAACTCCAATCATCAACTTGACCACACAAGTCCGCTCAACCATCTCACGTCGTCTACCATCCCCATACACACTCGCCTTCAGGCTATATGGCTCTCGTTAACGATTCACGGATTTCAAGGTCGACACAACAGGTAGCATCGGACGGGGACATTGAATCAGGAAACTCCGCTTTCTCAGTCCCAGACGCTTCGCTTCCAGTTTCCTCATCCCCTCAGAAATCGCTTCCAGTTTTTTGCTGCGCGCCTCCGCTTGCGCGGAACGCAGTTTCCGCAAGTGGCAGCGGCGACGAGGAGAACCCGGGAGAGTTCACCGCGGTTTACCCTTCCGACTTGCACATCGCCAAACCTAAAGAAGTAGCCAGCACTGCAGACGAAACAGAGAAGCTTCGCAAGGACGAGAAGGATCGCCGGAGGCGTCGTCGCCGGACCTGCTGCTGCCGCATCACATGCTGGTTGCTTATCGTCCTCACCGTCGTTATCGTCGGATTAGGCGTCGCAGGGCTCGTCGCATACCTGACAGTCTCGAAGCAACAGCCGGAGGTGAAGGTCGAGCAAATCAACATCCTCCGCGTCGGCATCACAAAATCCGGCGGCGGGTTCCTGGGCCTCGAAAACTTCCGCCTGGGCCTATCCGCGTTAATAAACGTCACCGCGCTCGTGTATAACCCCAACAACTGGGACGTGGAAGCGGAAAACATCAGCGTGGACGTAAAATTCTTCGACATGAATGTTACAAATGTGACCATTCCTGGCGTCGTGGGCATGAGCAAGGGTGGGAGCGCGGAGTTGACTGTCCCCCTCGATATTGTCGACGCGCCCCTGGCGACGCTGAGTCCCGCGAGCCTGCTGACGACGCCGCTGCTGCATGGGCGCGCGGAAATGCGGGTGGTGGTTGGCACTGCAGCGCGCGTGAAATACTGGGGCATCTCGTCGCCACGCGTTATGGTGCATGTGGAATGCACGATGCAGCTGGACCCGTTTTCCGCTAAGAAGTACAACGAGCAGTGTACTCCCAGCATCTCTCTGTGAATGGCGGCATGACTTGGTTAGGATACTCTTTGCCATACTCCTTTTAGCTGTCCGTTTTCAGGGGCTACCCCCTGCTTGTAGTTCTGTCCCTAATTCGGGGACCTCCACTCAAAGATGCACCTCCTTTTTTTGCTTTCATTTACTTCAGTTTCTTGCCAATGTAATCTGCAACTTCAGATCTATCACAACAACAATGCCCATTGCGAAAGAATTTAGCCAAATAGTAGTAGCATGACATGAAAGGGCCAGTCAACATGTTATGGTGCAGCATGTCAACTGGCATCTCATGTAAACTGGACTTGTTTAAATTGCTCACGCCAATCTTGGCCATGTATGCTGATAAACAGTCTTCTTCAGTCTCCGAAACGAGCATGCCTCAGCTTCCTGGAAACAAGAGAAGTGAGATGCCAGGGAAAGTAGGCCAGGTGGAAATTGGAGTGAATCACAAGTGGGGCTTGACCAAACCAGTTCTGCTAGGAGCTGCCATCATAATTTGCAGTAACACAAGAATAAAATTTACAGAGACAGAAAAAAAAACACACACACACACACACTTGGGACACACCTTGGTGGATAACCGCCAGGTACTCCTTCACGAGCACGAGGTGGCGACACCTCATTCGCTGGACGCGGCCGCCCACATCCCTCCCTTCCATCCCCCACCTCCTCAATCACCACTCCTCGCCTCAACACCACATCCCCGGCCTCTCTCACGCTCTGAACCACAGCCGCCTCTGCTGTTGCTCCAGATGCATGTAAACCTTGTGCTGCTGCAGGTGCTGCCGTATGCAAACCATGTGCTGCTGCTGCTCCGTGCATCCCTCGCTCTGGCCCCAATCCATGCATTCCTGCTCCTCCTCCTCCTCCTACCCCTACCCCTAGTCCAGATACACTGTCCCCTCGAGATCTCCCTGACACTGTTGCAATCGCTGCTGCGGCTGCTGCAGCTGCCGCCGCCCCTCCTGCTCCGAATGAGTGTCTGGATGCAATTCCTGCTGCGGCCGGTGCCGTTGCTGATGCAGAGGTTTGCCGCTCCAAACCTGCTGTTGAGGCTTGGTAGGAGGCTTGGCGAGTGGGTTGGTACGTGTAGGCAGGATCGAGAGGCAGGTTCCCTGAAACAGTGGCACAGATGGGAAGGGAGAAGGGATGGGCGGAGTGGGAGTGAATGGAGGGATAGGTAAACAGAGGTCAAGGAGGGGGAGGAGGAATTGGTGGAGAAGAAGAGAATGGAGAGATACAGGCAACAGGGGTGAAGAGACATGGTTGGCTGGTATCACCGGCACTCGCAACGACCAGCAACCACACCAGAAGCACCATCCCTACCTCCACGAATACTTGAGTGGTGGACGGAGGATTTCAAAGCCAAGGAAATCAACTCATGCTCCTTCAGCCCCGACAGCCCCACTGCCCGTCCTGCTGCAGCACTAGCCACACCACCACCAGCGGCAGCAGCAGCCCCAAACACACACCCCAATCCCCACCTGAGTGGTGCACGGACGATTCGAGGGCAGACGAGATGAACTCAAGCTTCTTCAGCCCCGACAGAGAAATGGCCCCACTGCCCCACTGCCCCACTGCCCCACCCACAGAAGCACCACTACCAACAATTTCACCAGCAACACACCCACACCCCCACTTGAGAGGTGCACCGAGGACTCGAGAGCAGTTGGGAGAAACTCAAGCTCCTTGAGCCCAGACAGCCCCACTGCTTCCCGAACCCCCCATCCCCCCCCCCTCCAAGCAGTAACATCAGTACTTCCCACCTGAGTGGTGCACCAAGGAGAGGACTCGAGGGCAGACGAGAGGAACTCAAGCTCCTTGAGCCCAGACAGCCCCACTGCTTCCCGAACCCCCCATCCCCCCCCCCTCCAAGCAGTAACATCAGTACTTCCCACCTGAGTGGTGCACCAAGGAGAGGACTCGAGGGCAGACGAGAGGAACTCAAGCTCCTTGAGCCCAGACAGCCCCACTGCTTCCCGAACCCCCCAACCCCCCCCCCCTCCAAGCAGTAACATCAGTACTTCCCACCTGAGTGGTGCACCAAGGAGAGGACTCGAAGGCAGACGAGAGGAACTCAAGCTCCTTGAGCCCCGACAGCACCACTGCCCACATCTCCCCCCTACTCCCCTACCCCTCCCCTGAAGCACCACTCCCACCTGCACCCTTACCTGTATGGTGCACGGAAGATTCCAAAGCAGACGAGATGAATTCAAGCTCCTTCAGCCCTGATAGCCCCACTGCCCCCCCTGCTGGCGCGCCCTTCCCCGCAGCAAGCTGAGGCACGGCCATCTGTGACATGTCCGCCAGGCCCTGAGAGTAGATGGGAAGGCAGAGAGGAAGGCAGAGAGGAAGGGAGAGGAAGGGAGAGGAAGGAAGGGAGATGACAGAAAAAGAGAATGAGCTGGACCCTTGCCCGTGGCGACCTGTGGCACGGCCATTTGAGACATGTCCGCCCGGCCCTGAGAGAATGAGAGGAAAGCAGATGGCAGGAGCACAAGGGAGGGCAGGAGAGAGCTGGAGCGTGATGCCCTTGCCCGTGGCACTCTGCAGCACAGCCATCTGCGGCATGTGCGCCAGGCCTTGATGCATTGGGAGCAGAGTAGATGGGCTCCAGACGAGAAGAAGGGAGATCAGATGAGCGTGATGCCCTTGCCTGTGGCAATCTCCTCACCAAAGGCGCAGACTACATCTTACTGATCGTCTATGTCGACGACTTGCTTTACATCGGCTCCACCGACGACGTCATCACCTGGTTCGAAGGGGAGGTGCAGAAGGACCTCACGCTCACCGTCTCCTCCACCGTCACCCAGTATCTCGGGCTCAACATCCGCGAAGAGGTAGATAGCATTTCTCGGATGTTGAGAAATACGCCGACACTATCGCCAAGCGCTTCTCGCTCACGCCTACCGCCATCGCCACGCCATACCGCCACACGACAGGAAGCGGCAAAGGAAATTCCACTCCACTTAAGGCTGCCGGAATACGAGACTACCAGAGGAAATTGGGCTGCCTCCTCTTCGCAGCTGTCACCTGTCGCCCGGATCTATCCTACTCCGCGAGTCAACTCGCCACCTATCTCAAGAAACCCGAAGCAGAGCACATGGCGGAGCTCGATCGCGCACTACACTACTTCGTGAGCACACCGACAATCGGCCTGACCTACTACAAGGGCGAAGCTACGACAACGAAACTGATCGGCTACGTCGATGCTGACCATGCCGGCGATTCTGATAACAGGCGCTCTCGCACTGGCTACGTATATCGTCTCGAGCCTATCGGACTTATCTCCTGGCAGTCGACTAAGCAGGAACTAATCGCTCTCTCTTCAGCTGAAGCAGAATATATCGCCCTCTGCTCAGCCACCAAAGAAGGACTCTACCTTCGCGAGCTGCTGGAAGAAGCAAAGTTAGCCGAGTTACCCAACTTCACCCTGTTCTGCGACAACCAATCTGCAATTTGCATCGCCAACAAAAGCGGATTCGCGAACAGAACGAAGCATATCGCTCTGCGATACTTCTTCGTGAAGGACGAGATCGAGAAAGGGAAACTCAAATTATCCTACTGTCCCACGTCCGAGATGGCAGCCGATTATTTGACCAAGAAACTCGGAAAACAGAAGTTCGAGTACTGCATGCTGCTGACTGGACAAGGCCACGTCACCATCAGCGACACTCCAGAAGCGAAGGGGAGTGTTGGGAACAATAAGTCTTAAGCGCCTCTGTCGTGTCGAAACTTAGGACACTAACGAAGCAGTCGGAATCGAAGCATCGCGAGTCAACCCTCGGAGGTTAGGGTAACCGCCTGGAGGTTACGGGAAAGTCAAAGGTTAGCGACCTTTGACTCGACAACAGGGACGTCGCTAGCAGAATTTTTTTGTCTGTTTGTCCTATATTGGAGGGTAACTTTTTGATTTAATCTGATGATTCAGAAATCAGGACTTAGTGAAATCTGTTCATTCAGAAATGCTTTTTTGCTATATCAGACCCATCAGAAACGTTTTCCATGTTCCTCTGATACATCAGGAGTACTTTCGGGTTTAGTCTGTTACCGAATCTTTCTACCCTTAGGCGTGATTCACGCGTGAGCAAGGCGTGGTGTGGGTGTTTTGCCGTGATTACCAGAGTGTATGCATCATGCACGCCGCCCCCCGTGTTCCCACGTGTTTCTATCGTACGTGGCCTGCCACAAGTGTGGGATTGGCTAGTTTAGTACAACAGTCATCAATCCAGCACCACAAACCCACAATTTCGGCGCCTGCCGAAGGTTCGGGAAGCGCGGTTTGGGTTCACCACAGTCAAGTGGTGCCACCCACAGTTTTCGGGAGCCATGCGCGGTTTGTCAACAGGGCTCTGTGGTCGGGCGTTGGGGTTTCGGGGGGGTCCTTCTTCTCCAGCCTCCTCTTGCAAACGCCCTACCTAGCCATTTTCACAGCGATTGCAGACGATTATCGCCTTAGTCACGTAAGTCCGCCCTCTCGCCATGGCGGACGACACGGAAACTGCCGAATCACCTACCCCACGGCCCAAACCACCTGTCACGGGCCTCGATTTCCTACGCCGTTCCCAGCCAGCCGCCGTGTTAGGCGCCTCTTCGCCGACACGCGTACCACCGTCTTCTTCCCCGAATCGGCAGGATGTCGCTCCTGTAGACTGGCCTGCTGTTAATGCTAGACGGGCTTTCAGTAGCACACCGCCTGTCTCCCCTAGTACCTCTGCACGGATTAGAGCTAATCCTAGATCGCAAGCGGCACCTAGCACTTCACGTGGTACTGCCGTGGGACGATTCCCAAAGGCAGGCCGATATACCCAGAGCACGCTGCGTATTGCAAAGACGGGGGTTCCTCACGTCCGCATCGTGTCAGGACCCACGCCAGAGCCTAGAGTTGAGGCTGCTGCTGCATCAACAGCACCAGAAGCTCATCCCACAGGTGATCCTGGGCCTTCCAGGAGCACCATCCACGTCCCTGATCCAGACGCGCTTATGGAGAAGCTCCACGAGCTGTCCAAGGAATTTTGGCGCGACAAATTCAAGTGGCTGATTATCACGCAGAGGAAGGACGGGACGCCGTGCATGAAGTGCAGTATATGCATGGCTCACGGTCCAGCCCACTGGAAGTTTGGTAAGAACGGCGAAGGTGGCGTTGATATCCAGCGGCAAACAATGCGGAAGCACGCGCTCAGCCTCAAGCATCAAGACGCAGTCAAAGCCAAGCTTCGCGCCGAAGGCGGTAAGGTTGCACAGAGGGGCATTGAGCAGTTTGAAAACGACGACAACGAGACTTCTCGGTTGAAACAACTGATGCTGGTCGTGCTATTTATCTGCAAATCCGATTCCCCCATCTCCCTGTTTATTGATCTTGTTCGCCTGTTGGGTGAGCTTCAGACGCCGCACATCCCGGACAAGTCCATAGGGACATACCAGTCAGCGTGAGTGAAAGTCTTTCTTGGTTTGTGTTTTTATTGTCACTACGACTAATACCACCTTCACTGTGTTGTGCAGGTACGGCTTCCGTGAAATTACCGAAGCGATCGTCACCAACCTGAGGCAGCAGCAGATGCGCCACATCCAGGCGTCTCCGTTCTTAGGAATTCAACTCGACGAGAGTACCGACCGGCGCAGAGGCAAGCACATGATAGTCTATCTTAGCTTCATTCGCGACGCCGAGGTCGTCACCGAGCTGTTTGGGCACCTGACAGTCGAGAAGTGCGACGCGTCGTCTCTGCTGACAGTACTTCTCGCCCATTTGGCCGTGACGGGCGTCGACATCATGAAACTGACGGGCATCAGTACGGATGGCGCGAGCGTGATGCGAGGTTCACAGGCTGGAGTGGCGACCCAGCTGAAACTGCGAGTCCCACACCTGGTGACGTGCCACTGCATCGCTCACAGGTGCGATGACAAAATCTCTCTGGCGGTGGTGTATGATCTTGTTGTCAGACGTTTTTCAGTGTTCTAACCGCTTCTTTTTGCACACTTGCAGGGAGGCTCTCGCCGCGAAGGACGCGGCGGAGGCGGTGCCCGACCTCAGCATGGTCGACACGGTCGTGCGGAGCATCGCAGAGAACTTGGGGAGGAGCATCGTCTTGCACTCCCGGTTCATGGAGCTACAACACATCCTGCACGAGACGTCTCTGGAGGTGCAGGGTTTTAAAGACGTTCGATGGCTGGCGCGTGGCGATGCGATTCGGAGGCTCGTGGCAGTCCTACCGGCGGCGATAGTGGTGTTGTGGGAGCAAGACAAGAAGGCCTACAAGACAGTCTCGAGTTTCAAGTTCCACTTCTTCCTGTTTTTCCTGGCAGATGTGCTGAAACTGCTCAACGAGCTGAACCTCAAGTTTCAACGGCGCATGGTGAGCAGTAGAGAGGTCCGTGCTGATGTTCATGCACTCGAGCATGTCTGACGTTGGCTTCTTGCCGTGTGCAGGTGGACATCACCCGGGTGGCATCAATGGTCCACAACACGTGCGACAAGCTGAAGCAGCGATACATCGAGCACGGCGTCAACTACGCTGAGGATAGCGAGTTGCTCACCGAGTTCATGGAGAAGCACGGAGCGTTGGACAAGCGGGAGGTGACGGTCAAAGGCATGGATGGGGAGGGAAGTCCCGTTAAACACACTTTCATGCTGCACGAGGACGCCATCAAGGGACAGAAGTCAAAAGGCGACATAGAATCATGCATCACTGTAACCCGCCTGTTTGCGCAGGAAGTTGTGAAGCACCTCCTGAAGCGGATGGAGAGCCTAGACACCCTCACCGGAGCGAAGCTTTTCCTGCCTGACGCGTACCCCGAGGGAAGCGCGAAGAGAGACCGCCTCTGCCAAGCCTGGTTCCAGTCTCTCCGCACGCTGTTCAGTGCGGAGAAGTGCGTACTTCCAGGTAATCTGTGCGTCTCTGTTGTGCGTCAATGTTACACGCTTGGTGATATGGTACCGCCACTGACTTATCTCCCCGTTGGCCCCCGCCCCTCTTGTACTTGCAATTGTGCGTGAGCAGGAGTGAGCTGGAAAAAGGCGGGACGAGAACTGGTGTCGTTTACCAAGATGATGGCCTCGCAGTACAAGGACCAGACCTTCCACGCCGGCCTCAAGCACATGTTGCGCAGCGACGACTGGGAGACGAGCTACCCCAACATGGTCCGCATCTGGATCGCCCTCGCCGTGCTGCCGCTGAGCACCGTCGAGTGCGAGCGCGGCTTCTCGAGGCAAAACATCATCAAATCGTGGCTCCGCGGGAATCTGTGCAACACACGTCTGGCGGACCTGATGTCGGTATCGCTCCTGCAGTACGAGCCGAACTGGGAGGACGTGGTGGCTGCTTGGAGGGGGGCAAAGAAGAGGCGCCCTGCTAAGGAAGTGACGACCAAGAAGAACACTCCAGAGAGAGCCCCAAAGCGGAAGGCCGAGAGAGGAACGTCAGCTGCTGCCTCCAATGAAGACGAAGATGAT